TTTTCCTTTCTGTTTTCCCCTCTCCCATTCTGTTCCTGCACTGTGCTAAAGGGTCTCACAACTGTTAGCCTGCGTAAGAGCCTGAGAAACAGAGCGCACAAGGGATACACTTCAAACCAGCAATAGATAATCATGTCCCCGTGAGTGAGTGGTTGAGAAAGCAGAAGTTTCCACCAGCTCTGAGACACACCGGAGTTTAGTGCTAGGAGTTCAAGCATCAGCGTGCGGTGCTAGGGAGTGAGTGAAGCTGTATGAGAAGAACATTTGTTGATTTTTTTTTTTTTTGCTGTGTTTCTCTGACAGTCTGACATTTTACCCCTCCCTACAGAACAGCCTGAGCGCCTGCCTGCCAGAGGAGTTGCTGGAGACTTCTGGAGCACACCCGATTGCTGCTGCCACAAGGCCCCAGCCAGCCAGCCACAATGTACTGCCTGCAGTGGTTGCTACCTGTCCTGCTCATACCCAAGCCCCTCAACCCAGCATTGTGGTTCAGTCACTCAATGTTCATGGGCTTCTACCTGCTCAGTTTCCTCCTGGAACGGAAACCTTGCACGATTTGTGCCTTGGTCTTCCTGGCAGCTCTGTTCCTCATCTGCTACAGCTGCTGGGGGAACTGCTTCTTGTATCACTGCACAGGATCCCAGTTGCCGGAATCAGCTCACGATCCCAGCATAGTGGGCACCTAGAAAACAATAATCTTCCAGTCTGCTGAGGGCTCTTGTTTTGCTTTTAAAAAGGGGGTGGGCTAGGGAGGAGGGGGGGTGTTAGGCATGTGACTGGAGTAAAACCAGCCTGTTTCCTGTAACTTTGTGTGGACTAGAGTGGTAAATTCCTCCCACTCTGCCTGTGAAATTTGACTTGTTTACTGTGTGAACTCTGGCAGCACCACCTGCTTTTTTAGAAGCAGAAATCTTTTCTTTTTTTTTTTCCTTCCCGTATCACCGGGAACAGACACCAGCCCTCCTAACTGAGAACTGGTGGAGGACCCAGCTGCTGGGCTCTGCCCAGCTATTGTGCAGTGGTGGAGTTGTGTGTCACTTACATGTCTGCATTAGGCCATGGAGGTCTAACTCAGGGCCCTCAGCCCACTGATTCTGCTCAAGTAGCTACAAGATTCTCTCCATCTTTCTCTTTGTGGGGAGCCAGCCTTCCCACCTTGCTGATCAAGGGCAAGCTCGACAGCTCACAGATGCACTTGGCCAAAAGCTGCTGGAGCCAGAGGCAGTTGAGTCATCTCCTCCTGCTCAGCCTGCCAAAGAGATGCGTGCACTGCCGAAGTGCTTTCTGAACTACTTATGCTCCAAGATCATAGCCTGAAAGCCTCAGTTATGCTGCTGCTTTTATAAAGCCTCACAGGTAGTAGAGACTGTCTCTTCACCTCCTCCTAGATTTCAGGGTTTACTGAGGTATTGACCGTTGGGATAAAGAACCAGTTTGCTACAAGATGTGGGGTTTTGGAAGCCACTGTGAACCTCACCCGACAAAACTCACGCTAGCCCAAAAGGCCAGGTGTGGGCAGGGCAGGAGAGGATCCCGAGGTGGAGGCACAGCTTGAAGCAGTAAATGCTTCAGCTGTTTTCAGTGATAGCTGTTTTGGTGACAGAAGGTGCTGCTGCTGCTGACTGGAGAGCAGGGTTGGCTGGGGGAGGGCCTGGTGTCTCCATCGCCCCCGGCAGAAGGGTGTTGGGAAGCCATGGTGGGTCAGTCCTGCAGCCACGGCTGTGCAGAGCTCCACGCTGCATACAGTACTCTGCCACCGTGGCTCTTGGGGAGCCCAGCTTGGGACAGGTGTTTGTTTGTGAGAAACCTTAGAGGTTAACACAAAATACTGTCTCTAAATTTTAAAGGGTTCCCTCCCCTTTGCCATCTGTTTGTCTTTACTTCAGTCTCCTAGTGGAGAGCAGCAGAAGTGACTGTTGCTGTCCTGAGGAAGTTCAAGCTATGAGGTTGTGAAACTTTCAGAGTATTGTTTGTTCATTGCACAGCTGTTCAAAATGTTTAATAAAGCTTTATAAACTTTGGTCTATGGCCTCCTGCCCAGCATGATGCATTGGCTGCGCATTGCCGATGCCTTATCCCGGCAAGCGTGTCTGCATTGTTCTCTCCCAGCACCATAACCCCGGAGAGTCCCCGGCAAGAGGCAGATCCTGTTTGCCCTGTAGCTCCTGGAACTGACTCTTCTCGTTAACTGTTTAACCTGACCATGGGCAGACTGAGAACCATGCTGGCAGTTCCTAAACAGACTCACAGGAGGTTGCTTCTGGTTGTACCTGCACCTAACATGACAGAATCCCCCTTTTACTACTTACTTAAACCACAGAGCCATGTCCTGAAAGCCGCTAATCCCCAACGCCAGCAGTAGCAGACTTACCTGCCAGGCACCTACGCAGTTTAAGCCCATCCTACAACATCATCACATCTTCCTGACCCGTCCCCTTGCCATGGGCAGAGACCAGGCTGGAACCCAACTGCCACTTGGGTTGTGTCAGCCCTTCCCCAGCCTTGGCCGTGACCCCACGTAGTACGGGGGAAAGAACGGCCACGTGCTTTCGCCAGACGTGGGACTATCATCGGAGCTGAAAATGGCTTCCTCTGCCCTTGCTCCAAGCCCTGAAGACCAAGTCCAAGTTGGAAAGGGTTCAGGGCGTATCAGTGTTTACACATTAAAAAAAAAGTGTGCGCCACATCACCAAGAATAGATGTGACAGCTCTGTCACCTGTCAGGCCGAGGGAAATCCCAGTAGCTGTTGTGTCAGCTGCAGCATAAGTAACAAATAGAAAGGAGAGGCGAGGGCATCTCATTTGCAAGCTATGGCAAAACTGTTGCCTGTGCGCTGAGCAACTTTTAAAAGTTTAAATTTAATCTACTGCAGTCAGTTCTTCTAAGAGTACATTTTGTTGCTAACTAGCCAAATTGCGCTCTACAGCAATTTAAATAAATCGTAGCCACAAAGCCAGCCAGTCCTGTGGATGAGAGCAAGCCCTGGCTTTGTACATGGGGTTCAAGACAAGACGCAGCTGCGGGGTTCCCCTTCTGCGAGACCCAACTTGGAGCAAAAAAGCACTTCAAAAGAGGGAGGCTGCCAGCACAGCGACAGGAGACTGATGGATAAGAAACCTACTTTTTGCAGCCCTCCCACCCAAATGTAGATAAAGAGCAGTCTTTGATATGCCCACAACCCTCCCCAGCACACTGTATTACCCTCTTCAGGGCACCGAGATACCATCTTCATTTTAAAGATAGAAAATTAAAGCAACTTCATCACGGTCAGACAGAAAGCCCCAGGCAGAGCGAGGAAGCCATCCAGGTCTCACATCCCATGCTAATGCCCTGCTCGTCCTTCTCCTTAAAGAGACCATGAAAAACCAGCCTGCGACTGCAGAACAGGTCGAACCCGATGGCTTTTGGAAAGCATCATCACAGCTTCCCTGCTTGTGCACCGCAAATGGGACTGAGCCCGTAGAGACGCAGCACCTGTGCTCGGGCAGGCATTTGCTGGCTACACAGAAGAAAGCTCAGAGGTGTTTTGTCCTGGTCTTGGGAGCTTCTCTGCCAGAA